ATCAAATCTCAATGGAAATCTCAAAATTTCTAATAGAAATCTCCATCCAAAAGCCTCCAGAAGCATCAAACCTCAATGGAAATCTACAAATTTCAATAGAAATCTCAATCCAAAAGCCTCCAAAAGCATCAAATCTCAATGGAAATCTTCAAATGTTTAATGGAAATCTTCATCAAAAGGCATCCAATCTCAATGGAAATCTTCAAAATTTCAATGGACATCTGAAGCAGCAACAGCAGCAACAGCATTGGAAGGTGGGTTTCAGAGATGTTCAATTAGTTGTAGCATTTTAGAATCTGGAATATTGAAGCCTTTGAGCCTTGCCTTCCAGCTTCAACCCCCCCCCACTTGCTTGCAGGAAACACAGTGGTGGAGATGTTGAAGGCAAATCCTTTGAAGAAGGAAGAAAAGGCTTCAAAGAAAGATTGAAGAAGAGTTGAAGAAAGCTTTGAGGGGTGTCATTTCTAGATTGCAGAAAGCTTGAAGAAGCTTGAAGCACACCCTTAGTTTGAGCTTGGGTGTCCAAAAAGTTTCTAGTTTTGCAGCTTGAAGAATGGTTTGGTAGAGAGCTTGCAGTTTGAAGGGCTTTGCAAGGGTGCACTTTGAAGTTTTTGTTTGAGGGAGTTGCAACTTGCAGCATTCAGTTGAAGTCTGTTTTGCAAGGGCTTGCAGCTTGAAGAATGGATTTGGAGGGGGTTGCAGCTTGCAGCATTCAGTTGAACCTTGCAGCAACAGCAGCTTTCAGCTTTTCAAGTGGGCCTTGCAGCGCGTGACTTTCAGCCTGGGATTTGCAGCACCTTGAATGACATTAGACTACAAGTCTTTGCAGTTTCAATTGGTCCAAAGGTTTCTTTTTTGAAGGTTTCCTTTTCAGATTCATTTGGGGAGCTTGTTCAGGCCATGGCTTTGAGCAGCTTCTTGGAGAAGATCTTTGAGGGCTTCCAGGCTGCCTTGGAGATGCTTGGGTGGCTTCTAGGCCACCTTGCAGTCATCCTTACAGCTTGGCTGGTTGGAGTTGGCAGCTTGGAGGTAAATCAGCAATATTTACTATTCACCGCAAGTCCTTTGTTGAAGATTCTTTGGGCCTTTGAAGTGATGATTGATTTTGTTTAAAGCTGTGAAGGCATTGGGCACTTCCAGTTGTTGGAGCCTGCATTGCAGAACTGGGATGGCTTTGCAAATGCCTTGAAGCTGGCTTTGCAGATTGAAGCTGGGTTATACAGTCAAGTAAGTCTTTCAGCTGTGGTCTTTCAATTTGTTTGGTGGTGGCTTCAAGTGTTTTGCTTCTAAAGGACACTTCCAAATCACTTTCATTTTTGAGCTCAGGTGCACACCTTTGCAGTGGTCTTTGGAGTCTTCAAGCTGGTTCAAGGGCGCACCACCTTGCAGTCCTGCTTGGAGAAGCTTGAAGAGACCTTGGAGCATGTGGCTGGGATTGCAGGTGACACCACCTACATTGGCCAGAAGGTCTGCTACATTGAAAGCAGCATTTCAGATGGATTACCAGCATCATTTTGTAGTTTTTCTCCTTCACCTCTCTTTCAGGTCAGAGTTTTCAGTGTTCAGCCCTACAGCACTTCAGGACAAGATTCTGCCAGTGGGAAGTGCCAGGACACCATCAGGCACTTGCAGCAGCACCTGCTGACATTTGATCCCAGCAGCTTGGATTTTCCCAGAAAGCTTTGTATTTTGAAGTTTTATAATGTTTTTTTGATTATATTAGTAGTTGATGTTTTTAAAGGTACTTTGCAAACATCATATGCCCTTTGCAGTTTAACATGACATTGCAACTAAGCACGTGGTGGTGGCCAGCTCTTCAAGAGTGGGATGCTGGATTTGAGGCCACCTTTCAATGGCTCCAGCTGCGAGGCCTATATGAGCCTTTGAGATTCTAGTTGAAGCTCTTTTTCTATTTTGGAAGCTTTGATTAAATTTTGTGGTTCAAGTTTCATTTGAAGCCAGCAAGCAACAGAAACCAAGGGCAGAGTGGGATTTGATGGTGTGGGAGAGCTGCAGTGGATTGCAGAATGATATCTTCTACAAGAGGTTCCAGTATGCATCTTGGCTGTATTTAGTATGCGCAGTATTCATTTGCAGGTGTCCATTCCCAATCCATGCTTTCAAGAATTTCTTTCAGCCATATGCCATAAACAGGCCAGTCTTGGAGATGAGCAGCCCATTGCAGAGAAGGAGGAGGATTTGAAGGTCTTGCAGAACACTTGCAGGCCAGAGATCAACCTTATCAGGTTTCTTCCAGAACCTTGTTTGGCATTTGCTGCAACCTATAACATTTGTTGTTCACTTTGTGTTTCAAGTGGTTCTTTTGTGAGTTCTTTGTGTTTTTGTCAGTTTACTCATTTCAGGACAGGCCACTTTCAGAGCTTCAGTCCAATTGCAGTCCTTGGAGCGCGCTTCCAGAGATCACCAATTACAGGCAGACCAGGCTGCATGATGCCCAGAGACTTGGAATCTGAACCTTTTTAAAGTTTTCTTTTTGAACTGAACCTTTCAAGCTTTCCTTTGCTCCCATGGCTGGAAAGCTTGAAGCTAAGGGAAAAGGCTGAAGCCTTGGGTTTGGAGTGGGCCAAGCTTGCAGAGCTGCCATTGGTTGAGCCCATTCCAGATTGGAACACAGGCCTTCAAGTGTCTTGGACCTTGTTCATTTGTTTGGACATTTTTGGATTCCATGTCTTTTTCTGGCCTTCAAGTATCTTGGATATGTTCAGTTTCTAATTAAGTGTAATTAGTCTCATTGGGCTTAGCTTTCAGGTGTTCCAGCTTTCAAGTTTACTTTGTTTTCAATGGTTTGTGCATCTCAGGTGGAGATGATTAAAGAGATGGTGAGTTGGAAGGAATCTTCCAGCAAGGGCGCTTCCAGTGGGGACTCAATTGCAGACCCCAAGGGCTTGAAGCCACCAGCTTTGGAGGCTATCTTGAAGCCAGCAGATTGAAGAGCTGGTTGCACTGCTGCTTGCAGGAAGTCAGAAAGTCTTTGCAGATGGCATTTGCGCATTTGCAGTTCACTTGCTTAAACCAAACTCCAACCATTGGTTTTTAAAGGTGTACCATTGTTTTTAAAGCTGCTCATTCAAGACTTGTTCAATTTGAGCTTCAGGGGTGCATCTTCAAGACTTCCACTGTTTTGCAATTAAGGAATCAGGATTGCTGGCCTATTTGTAGTCATTTCAGTGTTCAAAAGTAGAAGGTGTGCTTTGCTTAGAGGCCCAATGGTTGTAGTGAACTATGTTGGATGCCATGGATGGCTATGGATTTCAATTTCATTTCAGATCTCTGCACAGGGTGGCTTCCAGACCACTGTTTACAGATGGTGTTTGCGCAACAACAGGTGGGGGTTAAGAACATGTTTCTAGTGTTGTTCAAGGGTTCAACCAAATAATTAGGGTTTCAAGAGTTTTTTCAGAAAGATCATTCGGGCTTCCCAGTGTGTAGCTAGAAATGGTTGGAAGTTGGGACTGAGACCAAGGAAGTCGAGGGAAAGTCGCCAACCAAGGATGCATTGGATCCCACCAGTTGAGAAGTTGAGGAGTCACTGATTTCTCACAATAGCAGGGCAGCCCACCCAAACTACCGGGGCATGGTCGTGTCCTTTTTTGTGGTCCGGAAGGCAGGACACCGCTGCAGGACACCCCAAACTCAAACGACTGGAACCTCACCTCCGTCGATACGACTGGAACCTCAAACGCTTCACCTCCGTTGAAAGCACTTTGAGCCAAAAGCCTTGATTGCCAAACAAATGAATTAATGTTGACTCTTGATTAATCAACCCCCCCCCCGGCCCCCCCCCCCCTCAACAACCAGGGCCTCCAATATAATCTACTAGAAAACCAATCAAAGGACCAAAATGAAATGATTCATTATTAAAATCTTCTTGGCCTTCTCTGGCAATATTAAATTAAAAGGGAATCAATGAAATCTCAAATTTGGAATACTAAAGTAAAAGGAAATCAATAAAGTGGAAATGGAATTCTCAATATTTTAATGGACATCTAAATCCAAAG